ATGATCATCTTCAAAAAAAAAAAAAATTGTACTCTATGTGCCTTAAAAAAAATGACATAATAATATTTGCACAGGTACCATCCAATGTTTGAGGGAAAAGACCTAGATGTTCAACAACTTAAAATCCAATTGTTTTCTTTATAATAATCATCTAGTGAGACTCAGATAGATCCCAAAAATTTTGACAAAAAAATAAAAAGTCCTCCCAAGTGGCTATTTGGGCGGCCGAGCCGCTGAGGGAGCTATTCCACAGTCAGCTCCAGCAGGAATATGCTATACGCGCTCTATGGGCTTCGAACACTCCTACCAGCTTCCAGAATTTTATTTTTTCATATCAAAAGTACAAGTCTTTTAATTGTTAATTTAGAGAGAGATTGATGGAGATAGAGGGAGATAGAGTTGTTGATTTAGAGAGAGAGAGAGTATTTCTTAAGCTAGTAGTCTTAAAATAAAATAAAATAAAAAACATAAAAAACAAAACAAAACCTTGAGTATGGGATTTCACGTTTTAAAAACCTTCCCGTGCTTAATTGCTATTCATGATCTAATGCTATTTCCACTTCTCTTTCTCAAGTAGATGCGGCAACGGGTTCGGTTGGGTCAAATCCGACCCGGACCTATATATATATATATATATATATATATTTATTTATTTATTTATTTACATGTATTATTTTATATGGAGCCGAGGCTCTAAACAATCAAATTTTAGCCTACTTAAAAAATATTATTAGAAGAGGTCGTTTTGATGCTTCAATATCATCAAATCGATCATCTCGACGTCAATATGCATGGACATGAGAAAAAAATAGATGTCAAGTTTTGGAAATAGTGCATCTTGTAATACATTTTTTTACTGTCAATTTTCAAGATTTTCATAGATATGCTCAATCTACACTATTTTTTAAGCTTTAAATTTTATAATTAAAGATGAGAATACGTTTAAAGGCTGTAGCAAATATTTCCAATATTAAAACCACATTTTTCGACACTATTTGAAAGAGCGCTTTACTTTTATTGTTTAGAGCCTCAGCTCTATACAAACCCCACCAATTATTTAAATATCATAACTGAAAATATAATTATATTTAGTGAAATATTAATTAAATATTATTATTTAAATAATAACACTATTCGAGTCACCGTGAACATACCCAAATATTGTTCGGGTCTAATATTTGGACCTGGGCCCAACCGGCCAGATCCAAATCTTGGACCCTATATCTGAAACTTGGTCGGGTCCATTGCCACCCGTATTTCCATTCCCATTGGTTCTAGTGAGTTCCAACGTATATTTGAGAGGAGAGAGAAAGGTTTCCTTTAATCGAGTGCATTTCAATTTATGAATCAATTGATGGTTGATAGATCGGGACTAGAGGGAGAGTCCTACTTGATTAAGTGCGCTTCGACTAATTATAGAGAGTGAGTAGAGAGAGGTTTTATTCCGTTGAAAATGCATCTCCACTGTATTTGGGAAAAGTTTATATAGAACCGAGTCTATAAACAATCAAATTTTAGCCTACCTACAAAACTTCCCTAGTGTTGTTTTGATGCTCAAATATCTTCAAATTGACCATCTCGATATCAGGATGTATGGACATGAGAAAAAAAATGGATTGCAAGTTTTGAAAATAGTGTATTTTGTAATGTATTTTTGGACCGACAATTTTTAAGATTTTCAAGTTTTCATAGATATGTCGATCGATATTAGTTTTGAAGTTTTAAACTTTATAAATAAGTATGAAAATGAATGTTAAGGCTATCAATGATGTTTCCAATATTAAAATCACATTTAAAGACACTATTTGAAGGTAGGCTCTAATTTGATTGTTTACAATCTAGGCTCTATGCAAACCGCACTCTAATCTAAATACATATCTAACCCTCAAACCATTTCTCCATGCATGGAAAGAGAATCTTATTTCGTGTAAATTTATAGAGAGGTTCCTCTTTCATCCAAGTGCATTTCTAATCATTTCCCATGTTAGAGGGGGATCATATATATAGACTAATTATCTTTGTTACCGGATGTTATGATTATTTTTAGTCTTTAAATGTCAAATTGGATAGCTTGGGTTGCATCCTAAACATTGATTATGGCATTAAGCTAGTTGACTGTAGCAAACAAGAAGTCATAACAAAAAAAATAAAAACTAAAATAAACTCGATGCTCTGGTCTCAAGGCCTTTACCTTTTGAAAAAAAAGGAAAATTTGATATGAGGTTGTAATTTTACTTATAGAAATATGGTATAAATTTATATTATCTTAAAAGACATGTTATTTTGTAACATTGTCTTAAAATATATATTGCATCTATATGGTCCAATTAATGCATAATATCACAACCTGATTTGCAGAAGTAAGGTTGTCACGTTATATAAGCTACACCTTTAAATAAAAAAATGTACTTTGTCTCACCTAGCTCAATTTTTGGCTAAACAGGACAATGTATAACATCACAACCTATTTATAAAAGTAAGGTTGCGATCTTATACAACAAGCGGCGCTCTTTAAAAAATATTACGTCAAGGTTGCCTAGGTTAGCTTTATGCTAAACTGGCTGAGCGAGCCACCTACCGGTGGCCTCTCAAGCCAAATCTAGACCACGGCCAAATCTAGACCACGGCCTTGTCTATGGTTGGGACAAGGCTGACAAGGCTTTTGAGACCTAGCCGAGCTTAGGATAGAATTTCAAAAAAAAAAAAAAAAAGAACCGGAGTGCATATTTAAAGTTTGAACATGGATGGAGAGAGGGAGAGAGAGTGAGTCAGTGAGTATGATAGCATGTTCAAACATAAAGATACAGAGAGTTCGAATACTTTAGGGTGGTAACAGGTTGGATCGGGTTCGGGTGGACCTAGAATTGGACCAAAAAAATAATAATATGGGACCTAGACCTGAACTTGAATGGACCCGACCAGACGATCGAATCTGAATAGTAAAATATTTATATATTTAATTATATTTAAATATATTTTATTTATTTATTCATTTTTATTTATTTGACAGAAATCAAAGATTACATTAAAGATCTAAAAAGAGATTACAGACTTAGATACCAAAATCTCAGATAAAAATGTACCCCCTTTTGCAAGAAAATATGCCGGCCTATTAGCTTTCCTATACATATGCACAAAGGAGAATACATAAGAACTAGCAATGTCTCAAATTTGTAATAGCACCAATATCAACTCTCAAGGAGACTTATTCTTCCTATTGCACCAATTGAAGGCATTTAGAGAATCCCCTTCAATGATACAGTAATGGCCTAGATTCCTAGCCACCAAAAATTTTAAACCTTGAAGAAGTACATAAAGCTCTGCGTAATTAGTTCTTTCACGAAGAGGACCAACATACGTAAAGATAATACTACTATTCCAAGATCTAACCACACCTCCAAAGCCCGTAAGCCTTGGATTCTCTAATGAACTGCCATCAAAGTTGAGCTTAAAAACTTCATCAACGGCCCGACTTATCTTCCTTTAGGCTTGTATTTAATGAAACCTATCTGAAAAAGATTTGGCAAATTTCTCCTCACATCCACTTCTTAAATATCATGTCCTCCTTTTGTCATAGAAAGATAAAACCAAACTGAATGCAAAATCATTTTTCATAAATTTCTCAAAAGGCTGCCTTGTACCCATCAAAAGTTATTCTATTCCTCTCCTTCCACACCTCCCACAAGATCACGCCTCTCGTGATTTTCCATGTTATCAAACGTAACTGAGGTAAAAAAGAAAGTGACAAATTTGAAAGTAGACCCTCAACCTTTAACGGCATAACCATTGCAATCCAAGCTGACAAAAAAAACAACTCCAGATTCTAGAAGTGAATGGACAGTGGAGAAATAAATGAACACATGTTTCACCGTCCTCCTTACACAACAAACATGCATTTGACAAGATCTTTCTCCTCTTTATGAGATTATCAACTGTCAGAACTTTGTTTTGAACTGCCATCCATAGAAAGCTCGAACTTTAAGAGGTAAATGCCATTTTCCAAACCACAACAACTTCAGGTATAGTCCACCTCCATCGATCATGAAACAGTAATTGATACATCGACTTAACCGAATAGTCTCCACACTATCTCACACTATCTCACACTGTGTCAATATCCCCACACTATCTCATCAGCAGCATTGTGAGAAATATAAATATCATTAAGTAGATTCAATAAGTCAGAGAATTCAGCAAAAATAGAGTATGAAATCCTACTGTATGGAAGATTAATATTCCACACAATCTAGTTTTCCCTGTGTTCGAAATAGTCGGAGACGAACGCATTGGGATTGTTCGAAATAAATAAATTTTATTTATTGAGACCCAAAAAATATTACCAAATTCAAACTCAAATAGTGTTGAAGTATAAAATTTGTACCTATACCCAGACTTAGATTGGATCTACCCATCGAGTCCCGGATCGGGTCTGGGTCCATTTCTACCCCTAGTTCAATTATTGTCCAACATTTACCTATACAGAGAGAGACAAAGTGCTTGTCCAACCACTTACCTATACTACGGTTTTCATCACAGAGGAGAGAGCTTTATTAGAGAGGAACCGAGAGCTTTGTCATTAGAGAGAGACAAAGAAAAGAGAGCTTTATGAGAGAGGAACAAGGAGCTTTGTTAGAGGAAGCAAGGGTCTTAGGCTCACGGGATGAACTTCTCCATCGAATTATTAGCAGAGAGAAACAGAGAAGAGAGACGAACAGAGAGCTTTGTCAGAGGAAGCAAGGGTCTTGTGTTCACGGGAGGAACTTCTCCATCGAACTTCCCATTTAAAGTTTCGTCATTATAGACGGAACTTTGTTTAAGCCTATAGTGGGAGAAGATCTACAGGGAACTTACCATTATTTTAAACTACTAACCTTTATCAAACAACTACAGTAACAAGTAACTTTTGATGTTCAAGCAACTTCCTATTATCAAACACGCCCATACATGTACACAGAAAGCCTTCCATCCAGGTTCATATTCTTTCTTATATTCTAGAGGGAGGGAATCCAAGTTTATCACGTGGCACCATTATTGAAATTATACCGAATTACCAGGCCATTTGTATAACACATCCTTCCATTTTACCCATTTGCTGCTAACATGTTAACAAGAAGGTTTACTTACTGCTCCTCTGTTAACAAGGTCCACTGGCTCACAACTCATCAAAATCTTCGCTGAGCAATTCCAACCCTTTTTCTTCAACCTTAAGGTAACAATAAACCCTAACTCTTGCCCTAATTTGTTCTCTCCCTATGTAAATTTTTGGGTTTTCGTGGTGGATATCCACATTTTTGGCCTTTACTTTTTTTGGCAAGAAAACCCATATTTGTCTGGACCTTTGAAGCTAGGGTTTCGTTGTTTGGGGAATGAAAGATGGATACAACAGTGGTCCTGCTGATTTGAAAGCTCAGAGTTCGATGTTTCCTTATTTAGAAAGTTCACAGTTTGTCGCCCCTCTTAATAGAACAGTCTAGGGTTTCGCTCCAGTGGAGGCCTCAGCTCTGTGTTATTTGATTAATTGCATTCAGTCGAAAAGGTTGGCGCTTGGATGGAGCTCTTTCCGATGGATTGAACTGGATTTCATGGAGAATGATTCAATTAGTTACATGGGTGCTTTGAATCTGTGTAATTTTATTGCGGCTTGTTTTGTTTCTATTTATGGAAGGGCAGGGGCCCTTTGTTCGAGCTATTTATTCAGTTCAAGCTGTTTAATCGGTTTGGGTGAGAGAAATAGCTTTTGTCATGTTTGAATATGTAACCAAAGTCAAAGAACTACCATGGTTTCTCAAATTCTTGTAGGTGCAAAGAGTCTTTGGGGTTCTGGAAAGCTGGGTTTAGAAAATTCGTGGTCTTGTGTACAGAATCTAGGGGTTTCTTTCAATTAAAACAACTCACAGTGTCTAATACTTCGTATCATAATGGTAAGGATTTGCGGATGCAACAGTTTTGTGTTTGGGTTATGGGATTCCTTTTTGTATACCAAATTGTGGGGTTTCCTCTTTTGAGTGCATAAGGAATGCTTTTTTTTTGTAGAGGTAGAAGTTGTAGGCTTAGTAATTAGCTTACTGTTGTGAACGGTAGTTGAAAGGAAGCTTGAGTGAGAAAAATGGACCACCTATTTGTTCATAGGGCGCCAGGGACTGGTCCTTGGTGTTCTTCTCAAGGTGTCCCTTCTGTACCAGACAATATGGGAGTCGAAGACTCGTTCAGTTTTTCTGAAATCATGGATTTTGATAGCTATGTTGAGCCTTCTGTGGCTGGAGATCAAGTTTCTCCAGTATATGGGTTTAACAATTCGTACCCAATTGGTGATGTACCTACTTATTATGCACCTGTTTCTTCAAACCCAAATAGCAATCCTGCAACTGGTAACTCTCTCGTCGGGTTTGGTGTTCCTTTGGAATATAGAGATCCGGTTACAAATCCAACTGCTAGTTTTTATCCTCGTCCTTTTTCGCCTGAAGAGGAAGTGATAGCTGGAGCTCCGTATTTTAAAACTAATACTAAGAGTGATGCATATGATAGGAAGAATACTTATCAATACGTCTATAAATCACCTGTCGATCCCACTAAGGCCTCATGTTATAGACCATCCGTTAGGCAAGAAGGAGATAATGGTTCCAACTGTGGTTCTTTCGTGGGTCAGAGTGAGCATGAGGAAATTTTGAAAAGAAATATCAATACAAAAGAGTGGATGGTAAAGCAAATGGATAGTCGTCAAAATTTCACCATTCCGAGATCCCCAGGATTAATCCTCTCAGAGAAATTGCTCAAGGCTCTGTCTCTTTTTAGGGGCTACTGTGGTGGGAACATTCTTGCACAAGTTTGGATGCCTGTTAGGCAAGGGGACCAATATGTTCTTACTACTTGTGAGCAACCTTACTTGCTAGACCAGATTCTTGCAGGTTATAGAGAAGTTTCAAGGGGTTTTTTCTTTTCGGCTAAGGGAACAGAAGGTGCATTTCCTGGGCTCCCAGGCCGAGTGTTTATATCTGGATTGCCTGAGTGGACTCCTGATGTGAGTTATTACAAAAGAGCTGAGTATCTGCGAGCTGACCATGCTCGAAGAAATGAGGTTCATGGGTCCCTTGCTTTGCCTGTATTTGAGCCTCATGACTCATCGTGCTTGGCAGTGTTGGAACTCGTCACGACAAAGAAGAAGGCAAGTTTTGGTGAGGAGATGGAGAACATTTGCCATGCACTTCAGGTGTGTTATCTTTCTTTTCTTTCACTTTTTCTTACTTATTCCATGTGGAAATCATTTTCCCATCCATCAAACAACCATGCATTTATCAAATTCAAATACATAAATAATGTGGACAAATGAGAAAGAAATGCAAAAATTAACAATATATTGAATATAAAGATGCAAAACTATTCAAGAATACAACGATCACACTAATTAACAAGTGAAAAAGGACATTCATATTTCAGAAGAATGAAGCCATTTGATCGAACGAAACTAGTTCTTATACACATCATGCAATTCACAATTAGCACAAATAACAACCATTATCAATAGTCTACCACAGAAATAGCAAATTAAACTGTGAGGCAAAACATCATAATTTAAAGTCATAATAATCCAAGTTCCAAAGGTTTTACTTGTTTAGCAATTACAAGCTGAGTACTATCGCATAACACAAAATTACGGACATTTTTTTGTTGAAGTTAAGCATTTTAGAAATAGAAGCTGCGTACCTACATTTGTTTTAGTACTGAATGGATATATTTAATTTATACGCAAAAGCAGTTCGTGATATATATATGCAAAAGCACACACACATGTATGTGGCATGTACACACGCATACCTGAATAGGTACATACATAGATTCATGCATATAAACATACATAACAGTGATATGTACTCCCGTGAACACATGCATGTCGCACGAACACACACATGCATATATGAATAAAAACGTACCTCTATATATGCATATATACATACATAACATGGATATATACACTCTAGGGCACGCACACCCAGGTATCCTAATACGTACATGACATAGAATACATAGTTACATACCTGCACACACACATATAAATACAATCATATGCTTGCACCTTCATATGTTTTTATGTATGTACGTGTTTGTACATCCGATAGCTCATGTTTGTGATGGATATACACACAAACACTTGTATACATGCTCGCATATCTATTTATATATTTTGATATGCTGGTTTCTCTGTGTTTATGCTAGCATCACAGTATGTAATGAACAAGTAGTTGAATAATTGAGGAACTTATTCCTTGGTTTGAAGCAAGTTTGGTTATATTGCATGCTACATTGATATTTATTTCCAAATTGCTTTGCAGGCAGTGAACTTAAGAAGTAGAGAAGCTAAAGTTCACTTCCAGGTATGCCATATGGACTTATTATATTCTTCATTGTTCCCGGTAATCTATTATTTCCACCCTACATGCCATCTGATATTATCATGGATCAAAAAGAAAAATGTCATTTGATATTCTTATTTCATGACTCCCTCAAAGAAGATAATTATTTTCTCACAACCTCTTCTGCATTGCAGATTATTTCAGAGAACCGAAAAGCTGCCTTAGCTGAGATATTGGATCTCTTGAGAGCAGTTTGTCATGCTCATAAGTTGCCATTAGCTCAGACTTGGACCCCATGTAAGCAAAAATTTATGCCAAGACTAGAAGATGGTGAAACTCTTGAAAAGGTTCTCCTATCCATAGAGAAATCTGCATGCTATGCAAATGATCCTCAGCTAGATGGTTTCATGGATGCTTGTGCTGAGAACCACCTTGAGAAAGGGCGGGGAATTGTTGGAAAAGCCCTTCAGTCCAATAAACCATTTTTCTCAAAGGATGTGAAGGAGTACGATATATTAGAGTATCCACTTGCTCATCATGCTCGCCGTTTTGCTCTTTGTGCTGCTGTGGCAATCAGGTTAAGAAGTTCTCACACTAGTGATGATGACTATGTATTAGAGTTCTTTTTGCCCTTGAACTGTACTGGGAGTTTAGAACAACAGCTTGTGTTAAATAACCTTTCAAGCACCATCCAGAGAATATGTCGGAGCTTGAGGACAGTGTCTGAAGCAGAGTTGGCTGAATGCAATACCGTTGGTGTTTTTGGGAAGGATGAACGTAAGAGTTCTTCTTTGATGGGTATGCATGGAAAATGCTCCGATCCACCTTTATCAAAAGCTATGGGGATTCAGAATCCTGTGTTGGACAAAGTGGAAGGAGATGTGGATCATGAACAGGTGGATATTCTGTTGTTCTTTGTCCTTTTCCTTTACTTCCTTATAGGTAAAATTTCCTCTAATCTAATTGACTTATGTTGTACTCATAGTTGATTGGTGTCTGGTCGCCATTGTCCAATGAAATGATGGATGGTGATGGAAAGTGGGACCCACCAAAACAAAACATGACTCAAATAGTGGGTGCCACTCTCTTTCCACTGTCCGTCGTTTCATTGGACAGTTATGTGCAACGGTCACATGAGTATTTCATAGTCCATTGGAGCATGACATTGTTTTCTCTTTGTTTTGACCAGAGTTGTTTTTTTCCGTTTTATTCTTGTTTGGCTAAATAATTAAGGATAGTCCCGGAGATTTAAAAGATGATTCTTTCCCTTCATATTTTTATCATCAAATAGTTGTTCCCCTCTTCAATTAAATGGTAGATGAATTTGCCTATGTTTTATGACAGCTTCTAAGTCATTTTATTTCTGGTTCTTATTATAGTCTTCTTAGTAGCATTGTGATGACACTCCACTCTTGAAGCATTTGACTGGTGATTACATGATGGTTCTTCTTGTGTAATAAGAAGTTGTCAGCCTTGTTGTACTTAAATGCTTGTGACATTTTATAGCCTGGTACAAGTGGGCCATTGATTACATCATAAATGAACTTACCGTTTGCGCGGTGTGCATATGAGATACTTTATTTCTCATGGGTAAATCAAGAAAACTCTGAAACTTTGATCTTTTGGTTGTGAAGTACTGGGAATGCTGTTGATGAGCCCTGATAAATGTCTTGCTTAGTAATTCTTGTCTCTTGCTTAGTAATTCTTGTCTTATTAACATTTTCTGTTTGGCTTTTTGTGGGTACCTCTCCACATATGCTTGTCAATTTTATCCAAATTTGCTGGCAGAAATATTTTAACCTATTTAAACATAGCTTTTGGGTTCATCAGGAAAATAAGTAGGAAAGAAGTTGTTGCAGAAGTTATAAGAAATTTGATAAGATCTGAAATTGTTTGACAATTTATCAAAATAATTTTAGTCATGTTTTAATTTCAATTCATCTGCATAAGATTCTAAAATGGAAAGAACTAATCAAATATACTTTAGTAAAACCTGTGGTCCATGCTTAATTCTTGGCTAGAATTCTATGGATTATAGATGTCAGAGAAAGAAAAATAAAAAAAAAGGAAAAAGGAAAAAAAGAAAGAAAAACAAATGCTACTCTATTTACCACCGAGATTAGTCCTTGTACATAGGTGGATTGGTTGCCAGGCCAAATCGAGTTATCTTAGCTTGGGATAGCATGATTGATTCTGAGCCAGATACAAAGATTTGAAAAGTGCCAGAGTTTTTCTAAACCTCTTTCAGGTGTTTGCTTCCATGGAAATCCAGGACTGCCTACAATGCAAAGAAAATAAAATCCAAGGCTGTCTAGTCTGAGGAGCTTATTTTTGTAACTCGTCAAACCTTTGTGATTCTACAGAGGTAGAAGCTAGAGTAGAGCCTCTTTCATTATGGAAGACTATTAGCTAAATCTGATTCAATAGGCTTTAGTCCAGGGGATTTGCCAAAATCACAGGACAGGTTTCAGTAGAGCCTTCGGATGTGAATTATTCTATTGTCATGTTTGAATGGTAACTAATTCAGCATCATCATCCGAGCCTTATCCCAACTATTTGGGGTCAATAACACAAATTTTGTTCCACTATTCCACTCTATCAAGGGTTGTACCCTAGTCAGACTCTAAGCCACTATATCTATTCTCACTACTTCTATTCACGTTTTTTTGGGGCTTCCCCTTGCCCTTTTAGAGCCTGTTTTAGATCGACGTTGCACATTGCCAGACCACTTAAGTTTACTTTTCTCTTTTTTAGCGCCAATTGGAGCCGCCCCTAAGTTCTATATTTTCTCGTCTTGCCACTCTTCGGTCTCAACATCCTCATCTTTGCTAATTTTATTCTATTGGTATTTGTTTCTTGACTGCCCACCATTCTGCTCTATAAAGCATGGATAGTCTTACAGCCGTCCTATAGAATTTTTCCTTCAGTTCATTGGAATACGACGACCACATAAGACTTGGGAAGCACATCTTCACTTCGACCACCCGAGCCTAATTTTATGCACCTCCATTCTCATTGATTATCGACCCAAATGTCCTACGAAAGGATACTAATTATGATGCATATTCCCTATCTTGTATCGAGTATGAGTGGATTCTTTCTCATTTTAGGTCTCCCTTTTTCCTTGTCTCTATGGTCCATTTATTTGCTGTTTTAATTTCTCTTGCCTATTGAGGTAAGAATTTTTGGTTGTCCTCCTGTGCAGCTTGACGTAACCATTCCCTCTTTGTTGTCTATAAAAATTGTAAACACAAGAACATATCCAGTATGTGGTGTATATGAATAGCATAGTAAATAGAGATACATATGTATGGCACATACTCTTATATTATAGTTAAAATTCGAAAGATATATATATTTTATAATACATAATTAGAGCATGTAGACATAAGGATGTCTGTCACACGTGATGTAATTCGATATGGCCAGTGAAGTTACAGCCATTTCCTGTGCTTGTATCTGTGTTACGTCTCATCTACACTGTGGAGTTCTCAGGGCTGAGGATACCATTTAGTCGATTACTTAATCTAGAAATGCATAACTAACAGTAACAGTGTAGTATAATATAAACTATTGCTTGATACTGCAAGTAGTATTTTTGTATTGATAAACAGGTGTTGTACTACAAGACTAATTTGAGTATCCTAAATTAATATTTGATTGGTGGTTGTAAATTTATCTACAATTGGTGGGTGCTGAAGATTAATGCTATTTGTGATATGGATGTGGTGATGGGTGGTCATGGCTAGTGAACATAAATGGTCATGAGCACACATGTTGCTGAATGCACTGCTTGTTCTGGTGGTTAGGGACTTTTGAACAAGATGTTAAGTGTTGTATAGGGATTTCTTTTGGGTTCTCTAGGCATGGAGCTTTTGTTGTTCTTTTTGTCTCTTTGATGCAAACTTAAATATCAATTAAAAGAAATGTCACTGTTGACATTCTTCTAGTTATACCTGAGCTCAATTAGAGCAATTTTGTCAGCATTTGCTTTTCCTATTAATTTCCATTTTGCTAAGAAGAACAAACATACATTTGTGGATGGATCTTGCATTTACAGCTAATAGTTTGCATTTGCTATCAATAATCTAACAGTAGATTTATTCTTCATCATATAGACCACAACTGACTCAAAAAGACAGTTCGAGAGAAAGCGTAACACTGCAGAAAGGAACATTAGTTTGAGTGTACTTCAACAATACTTTTCTGGAAGCCTGAAGGATGCTGCGAAAAGCATCGGAGGTATGTCTTTCTGTAGTCAATGATTTATATTCCTAGAAATCATGGATAAATTACCATCTTTAGATTATGTGAACGTATTATCACTATCACTAGTGCGTGTTTGGATGTACTCGTTATCACTGATAGTTCACTATTTCAATAAAATTGATCCTGATAATAGATTATTTGTTGTTCATCAGTGTCCTTCATAAAATTATCTGAGACATACTTATAAGCAGTTTCACTTATAAGTTTATCTTAATAAGTTTATCTTTCTGAATTTTTTTTTTACTTTATTTAAAGGCATTTTCTGAAACTCTCATGTTTTAGCCAGAAATAACTCAATAGCTGAAAAACACTAAAAAAGTTTGTATAATTAAATAATATTATATGTATAGGAAAAAGTTTATATGTGGTTGCAACCTTATAGAAGTAAGGTTACAGTAATCTAAACTGTCCATTTTATTTAGATGGTGTGGATTTGACACTATGTTAAAAGACTTGCCACCTATTGACAATGTCTTTAAAGACGTGTCAATCTACACCATCTTAATGTGGACAGTCAAGAACATTAGAACTTGACTTCTACAAGTAAGTTGTGACTGTATATAAACTGTACCTTTATAAATTACAAAACGTATGTACTAGACAACTAACAAAGTAACATAAAGAAGAGTATATTGATTTCAGATAAGATAATCTACTCCAGATAATTGTCATCCAAGCATACCCTAAATATTTATGTGTGTGTGTGAGAGAGAGAGAGAGAGAGAGGAGGGAGAGAGAGAAAGAGAGAGTTTGTTTTATCCGTCATGATTTGTATATTTTCCATCAAATGTTTGGTGTTTTGCAGTATGCCCAACCACATTGAAAAGAATATGTAGACAACATGGAATATCAAGATGGCCTTCTCGCAAAATCAACAAAGTGAACCGCTCTCTGAGAAAGCTTCAAATTGTGATCGACTCTGTTCAGGGAGCTGAAGGTTCTTTAAAATTCGATGTCCTCACTGGAGGATTTGTAACAGGCGCTTCCAAATTACATGATGGTGATAACCAAATTCCATTTTCCACTTCTCCAAAAAGCTCACCCATTGTGCTCCTAAATGTAACCCCGAAGAAAAAAGTCAGAGAGGAAGCCGCTTCTTCTATTGAGGAGATACGAAAGTCAGAAATCAATTTTCAATCTTTGCATTCAAACAAAACAGAATTGTCAGGGACCCCAAGTCTTCCTATGGCATTCAAGATTGAGAAAGACCCAGTTAGTGTTTCGCCAATTGGAGTTATCGATGAGCCAAAAGCTGCTACTTCCTTTTGTTCTGGCCTTGAACAAATGCCTTGGGCTTTCTCTCAGACTAATCTGAGAAGTTCCTTTGTAGGTAGAGAAACGTGTGAGAGAATGGACACTAATAAAGACCATATGAGCATAGAGAGCTCTGAATGCCTCATTAGAACAAGGAGCTCAAGCTCTTTGGCTGCAGTCGATGAATTGGAGAATGGGGTTTATGCCATGGATGGGATGGTGGAAAACAACCAGCCCTCCTCATCAGGGATGACTGATTCCTCAAATAGCTCTGGTTCAATGATAAATGGCAGTGCGACTAGCTCCCCCACTATGCCAGTTAGTTGCAAAAGCAAAGTGTATCTGAGAGACGGCAGTTCCAGAGTTACGGTGAAGGCAACGTATAAAGACGATGTTGTGAGGTTCAAATTTCTACCGTGTTTGGGCTATTTTCAGTTGTTTGAGGAAGTCGGCAGGAGGTTCAAGTTATCTATAGGAACATTTCAGCTCAAGTATTTGGATGATGAAGAAGAGTGGGTGCTTTTGATGAATGATTCAGATTTGAATGAGTGCCTTGAGATATTGGAGTCTTATGGAGCTCATAGTGTAAAGCTTATGGTAAGGGATTTGCCTTGTGTCATGGGGAGCTCGGAGGGTAGTACATGTGCCCCTCTTGGATGATCTACTTGGGAGTTTTGAGGTTGGCTTTTAGGAGGAATCTCCGAGTTCTTTTCATGAGAGGGGGGAAGAGTGTTGTACTCGAAGGAGGGAGGGAGAGAGTCTTTGAATGGGGCGAGATGCCCCTTAGCATGTGGCGTCTATACTTGTATAAATATGTATTTGTAAAGAATGTTCGGTCTGGTTAATGCACACCTTTCTATAGCCATGTATAATGATGTATAGAGGTGATTTTTAATATAGGAAATGGTTTCTCTTAATCAATGATGCAGTTTATTTCCTTTTATACCATGAACAATGATAGCATTTGTATGGTAAATGATATCATATTATACAAACCCTACCTTGAGCATCTTCTCTTACTTATTTGAAGGTGTATTGTATATAAAGCCTAATCTCTGGGGTTTATCCACCTAGAACATAAATATTAGAAGAGGAGTTTTACAATATGGTAGGGTTATTAGCATGATTTAATGACAAATTGGGTTCTCTTTCTTCAAAAATAGGGAGCCTGTCATAAACTTGTTGATTTGAAATACCTTTTTGGCGTTTGAAATGTTTTTCTAGAAACCAAGTGGATTTGCAACTTGTTGGAATGCACATACGATTCCAAAATGCATATTGGAGAGTGAAAATTTTTGTTTTTTTTTATCGGGCATATGACAAGTTTAGGGCTTACTTAAAATCAGTGATTTAAAAAAACAGATCGGTGACTTGGATTGGGCATCTTGAAAATTGGTCCGGATCGGTGAATTGGTGGGTTTGGATCATCATTTTATTGTGCGGAAAAAAACCAATGAACTAGTGAAAAAACACATGAAAAAATAGTGAATTGATAAAAAACCGGCCCGGATAAGTGAGGAGTAAGTTTCACCTCAAAAATGAGTAGCCTATCTTGATAGGCTATGTTTTTCTAGAAGTAGACTTGAAACTTCGGAAATGCATTTCAAATTCTAAAATGCATGTTGGATTCTGAAAATGTTTTTACTTTCCTAATCGGATATGTCATGTTCAGGTAAACTTTTTGGAAACCGTCTTTTTTAAGTTTCTAGACAGTAACACTCGTATCTTTTTGAGCGTTTTGAGTATCGTGAAAACTCATTCAGTAAACATCATCATGGTGAGGTATCAAGGCTCAAGCGGTACAACACTAGTATGCATCCTTTATTTGGACCTACAGATCAAGGGTGTTTGTTACTCACCTAACTAAGTCTAGATGTAAGGAAACAAGTGTTCCCATTGGAAAATTGGTTGGTGAGAGTACATTCCATATGAAAATAAGTTGTTTTGATGCTCAAAAATCTCAAATTAATCATTTTGACCTTGAGATGTATGGGCATAAAAAAAAAATGGCTTTCAAATCTTGGAAATAGCACACGTGGATTTTCTAGACAATCAATTTTCAAAATTATTGAGTGTTGATAGATTAGTTCGATCTGCACTATTTTTAAAGCTCTAAATTTTATAATTAAATGTGAAAATAAAATTTAAGGCCATTCCCAAGATTTTTGATAATGGAACAACACTTTCTACACTATTTGAAGGTGTGTTTTAATTTGATTGTTTGGCACTTAAGGTTAAAAAGGCCTTAAAAGAATAAAAAAAAGAAGGAAAAATGTGAAAAAAAAATTGAAAAATGTAATAAAAGTAAATCAAACCTAAAATAACTTTAGAAAAACAAAACAATCTAAAAAAAGTAGAGAAAAAATGGATTTACAAAATCAATTTATAGTTTGGGACATTTTGAAAATGGATTATATACTGTGAAACTATTTATCTTTGTTACAAGGAGGTCAAGTTACTCATAGCCACTAGATGTCAAATTGGATGGCTTGAGATTTGTCATAATGTTCGAAATTCTTTTTTTGAATTATGAATCCAATCAATGACAATTTGATGGCCATCCAATTTGAAATCTGATAGACAAGAGTAATTGCGACTTCCTTGTGCGAAAAGTAAATGGTCCCTTTATATACTTTTCCTTTTAAAAAATTTAAAAAAATAACGATTATGGCAAAAAGCACTCACCAATCTTGCATCTAAACCATATAAAATAAGTTTGTATAGCATTTTCAATTTTTATAATTATTTTTTGAATTTTTTTTATATGGTTCAAGTTGTACAGACAGCTTGGGGCTACTCAGCCTTGCCCATCGGCCTAGTCCCAGTGGACCCCTGCTGAGTTCTATTATACTGATTTTACCATTTTTTTTATTTTTCATAAATAATATAAAGCCCTTGTCTTCATAGTTGAAAGGGTTACCCACTTTGTCGCTATTTCAGTTGAGGGGCCGTCTTTCGGTTACCATATGCCCCTTGTGCTTCCAAGAGAAGGAGCACTCTGATCACTATTCTTAGTAGATTTGGGTTAAATGGGTTAAATTTAGATTTCGACATACGGGCATGCAATTTGTTTGAAATTATATGTTTTCCATTACCATTTGGAACCTTTGGATGGAGCAGAATTCTCGGATTCATGATGGGGCAAAAACACCTAGGGAGCTACTACTACGTCATATTTTTCATTTGGTTAGATCTTTGGCGAATGTTTAAAATTGGGCATTTCATTCCTTATAATTTAATATTGCTGCCAATCCCAACCTACAATGGAGTTTGGTATCTTCCCTATTCAAATTCATGTCACCTGGTTGCGTCATCCTCTAGGCGTTTTCAAGCTCAACATTGATGGGGCCTCCAGGCATAACCCAGGTAATGCTGGTTGTGGGGGTATCATTAGGAATGATGCAGGTGGTTTCATTGCGGCATTTACAGCTCCGTTAAATAACAATTCTAATAACATAGTAGAATTCCATTCACTTGAGAAGGGGAATACCCTAGCAAGGGACTTGCATTGTATACCTCTTGTCATTGAAAGTGACTTTAAGCTTGTTGTTGACTCTATAAATCGTCGTAGCGAACCTCTTTAGATAAATTACGCATAATGTTGGCTAATTGTGTATCTAAGCTTACATCTTTTACTGATCATCAATGGAGGATCCTACACACTTATGGAGAGGCTAATATAGTAGCGGAATCCTTGGCGAATGCAACTGCTTCTATGAATGAAGCAACGGTGTGGTGTGATCACCCCCCAGAATTTGTAAGGCCTTTCATTTTATCTGATGTTGCTAGTGTTCCCTTGCCAAGGGTTGTATAAGAATTGTTCATATAACATATTCTTAGTTTATTAATAAAATGCGTAGGGCCCGATATCCCCACTAATTCACCCAAAACAAAGAAAAAGAAAAAATAGATATAATAGACTTACGGTCTCACTTAGTATATCACATTTAATAGAGAAAAATGAAATATTAAGATTTATATAGTTGACCCCAATCAATTGAAAAAGGCTTTGACTAGGATGAGCATATGAAAAGTCATTATCTTAATAATGACAAAAGCACCAATATCATAAAGTATAGGAAAACTGTTTCATGCTGACTTGACCACATTTCTACATATACAATTCAGAAAATGTAAAGCATCCATCTTAAAGATGGATGCAAGTAAGTGTTCCATCTAAAAAAGAATAAAAGCTAATGGTCCAAATGTTTTCTTACTAGAATTATTATTTTTAGTTTTTAAAATTTATTTATTCATATTCATATTCATGATCTTCATGCTAGTTATTATATGTTCTTAAAAATTAAGTCTTAAAATCCAGCACCAAAATAGATTGATTAAGAGGTCCGCATTTCTACATATGCAGACTTAGCCGTATAGAAACAAGGTAAAAAACTATAACGAAAATTGTTTCATGCGGGTTGGACCGTATTTCTACATATGCGATCCCGAAAGTGTAAAACATCCATCTTAAAGATGGATGCAAGTGGATGTTCCATCTAAAAACAATGAAAACTAACGGTGCAAATGTTTTTTTGCTAGAATTATTATTTCTATTTTTTTAAATAATTTACTTTTTTCATATTTATGATCTCCAGGTTAAAGATTATATGTCTTTAAAAATTAAGTCTTAAAATCCATCTCAAAAATAGATTTATTAAGAGGCCCGTATTTCTAAAAATAGATTTATTAAGAGGCCCGTATTTCTAAATAGGGCTTGGCCGCATGGAAACCGGGTCCAAACCATAATACCCTTCTCCATCTTTTTACAACAGCAAAGAGAATAGACCATCTCTTCATCATCATCTTCTAGAGATAGAAACCAAATCACTCTCTCTCTAAAAATGGTGCACAATGCCTACGATTCCCTGCAACTGATCAAGGACTGCCCTTCCACCGTAGAGTGTGTGGGCTTATGGGACTCCAAGCTGCTCATCTCCTGCATCGACTGCTCCCTTCGCATCTACGCCCCCCCTCCCGAGTCATCACAGCCGTCCATCTCCAATGATCCCCCATCATCTAGGGCTGGGGTGGCAGGGACGCCCTACGCTCTGGAGAGATCGATTTCAGGGTTTTCAAGGAAGGGTTTGATATCAATGGAGGTGATCAAGAATGGGAAGGTGTTGGTCTGGTTGTCGAGTGAGGGGTTAGGGTTTCACAGGTTACCTGGATTTGAGGCCGGGGGCATTTTGGCGAAGGGAAAAGGGGTGAATGTTTATAGCTGGGACGAGAGGAGGGGGATGTTGTGTATGGGGAGGCAGAAGAAAGTGGTCATTTACAGGTTCGAAGGTAAGAGAGAGAGAGAGAGAGAGAGAGAGAGAGAGAGAGAGAGAGAGAGAGAGAGAGAGAGAGAGAGAGAGAGAGAGAGAGAGAGAGAGAGAGAGAGAGAGAGAGAGAGAGAGAGAGAGTAGAGTAGTAGTACGTACGTACGTACGTACGTACGTACGTACGTACGTACGTACGTACGTACGTACGTACGTACGTACGTACGTACGTACGTACGTA